CCCCCCGGGTCCCCCGTACCGGGGAATTTAGGACTCGGGTCCTTGCGCTTTCGCAGCAGGCAGGAAAACCACTGAGCTAAATCCCCGACCCTGTTCTTCAGCTTTTACCATTTTTTCTTTTGATTTTGGAGAATGAATCCAGGGCTTCCCATTGAGCTATAACCTCAACTCTTTACAAAATTTTGTTGTTGGGTTTTTTTGGTACCGGGGATCGAACTCTGGTCCTTATGCTTGTGAGGCAGGCGGCGGAACCACTGAGCTAAATCCCCGGCCCTCTTTACAAAATTTTAAAATTAAAAAATTTTTTTTTAAATGATCTTGCTGTGTAGTCTAGACTGGCCTTGAACTCACAGTGATCCTCTTGCCTCAGCCTCCTGATTGCTCGGATTACAGGAAAGCACTAGAGCACTACCCGGGCTGGTATGTTTGTTTTTTTAATTTAGAGACAGGGACTCCCTAAGTGGTTAAATTGTCCAGCTTGGGTTCAAACTTGTGATCCTTCTGCTGCAGTCTCCTGGTGGACGGAATCCCCCTGCTGTGAATCCTCCTGCTGGGATTGAGGCAGGAGATTAGAACATGGCAATGCTGGCTGGGGAAGAAGGCATGACCTGCCAATTACAAAATCCCAGGCTAGTGTGCAGAACACTTCTCAAAGCCCTATTGTGGACCCCATCAGGGAGTGCCATCTTCAGTTCCTCTAGTGAGAAATTAGATGGTTTTTGATAGGCTGGCCTCAAGCTGACAGCCTGAGGAGTGGGAGACACAAAAGGACAGTTACCCAGGAGCTCTGGTGTACTGTGTTCTCTCTTTCACAGTACAATAGTCCACTCTCCTGATGTAGGGTGTAATTTTTTGTTTTTTTGGTACCCAGGATCAAACTCGGGACCTTGCGCTTTCGAGGCAGGCGCCAGAACCACTGAGCTAAATCCCTGGCCCTTAGGGTGTAATTCTTTTCCTAGGCCCAAACTCACTCTTTAGAGCCTGCTTTTTTCCTTCTTTCAGTAAATGTAAAACCTTGCTACCTTTTGTGTTTTTTTCTGTCCAATTCTTTGTTCAAGACAAGAAACTTAGCTGAATGTGGTGACCCACACCTGTAGTCCCAGCACTCAGGAGGCTGAGGCAGGAGGATCTCCAAGAGTTCAGTGCCAGCCTGGGCTACATAGTGAGTTCAGTGCTAGCCTGAACTACAAACCCAGACTGTCTCAAAAAGGAAAAAAAAAAGGGAGGGGGCCGGGGATTTAGCTCAGTGTTTCCACCTCCTACCTCGGATCCCCAGTACCAAAAAAAAAAAAAAAAAAAGTAGCGGGGAGGGGGCCAAGAACAATGGGACAATTGTGTTCCAAGTGAGGGGAATATTTAGAGGATTAATGGCAATATCTTTTAATTGTAATACATTTAAAAGAAATTAAACATTTACTGTATATTTTGATTACATATATTTGCCCTTCTGTAAGAGTTAATTCTCATGCCTGTCATAGATTCTTAGAAATTCTCACAATGAGCAGGGCATGGTGGTGCGTGCCTGTAATCCCACCACTTGGTAGGCTGAGACAGGAATATTGCTGGGAGTTTGAGCCCAGCCTGGGCTACAAAGTGAGTTTGAGGCCAGCTTGGACTACATAACAAGATCCTGTCTCAAAAAGACCAAGAAAAAAAAATTCTCACAGTGATTGATACTTTTAAGTTTTAGAGACAAGATCTCTCTAAATTGCTAAATTGCCTAGGCTAGGCTTGAATTTATAGTCTTCCTGACTCAGCCTCCTATAGTGCTGGAATTACAGATTTGTGCCCTACCAGGCCAGGCCACACTTCTAAATTCTTTAGCATTTTTCAATTTATTTAATCCTTTGATTAATTTCCTTTTTTGTTTATGTACTATAGCTTGGTTTTTTTCAATCTATCCACTCTTTTTCACCCTACTCCCAGAAGACTTCCTAGTGACCCGAATGGCACTAATTTTTTGCCTTCCTGGGCTTAATCCATTATAGGTTGGGATAATTTCTCAATATATCTAAAATTTACAGCCTAAAAATGAAGATTTATTCAGTCTTTGTAAACTATTTTTGGGGAGGCAGTGATGGGGATTGAACCCAGGGCTTGTCCATTTAGCTACAACCTCAGCCCTTTTAAAATTTTTATTTCTTTTGAGACAGGTTATCTCTAAATCACTAAATTGCCCAGGCTGGGCTCAAACTTGCAATCCTCCTACCTCAGGCTCCCAGAGTACTGGGAGTACAGGCATGCACCACCTGCTTCTTTGTAACACATACTGAAGAACACATGGCAGAAAATGGAAGATTTTATGAAGTCAGTAGAATTTTTTTTTCATTAGAGAATACTTTATTGGTTTCTGTAATCAAACCCACGTGGGTAAGACCTTACACATTCAACACGTTATCTCTGAACAAATGAAATCACAATTAAGTTTAACGTTTCTAGACCAATATGGCTGTTAATTTCTGCACAATGGCAACTCAATAAAGTAAACTAGAATAACATTTTCCAAAATTGACTGCACCTTTTTTTAAAACAGTATTTAATTGAACTTTAAGAGATCAACTTTCATTTTTTTTTTTAAACCTCAATACTGGGTATTGATAAGAGCAATAGTCAATATAATTATGGTCAAACTTATTGTCAAATACATAAACGCTTGGTGTTAGTATGTTTACAAACAGTTCAGTTCAGTTTTTGGTGTAAAGTTGTCTGCAAGAAAAAACATTTGGTTTACTTCACTAATAGGAATATCCCTTAATGCTGGGATGGACTCTTCTTGGTATTTCTTCTGCTGTTGATTTTTAGCATAGTTATCCGTGACTATCTGTATGGAGCTGAGTGGAGAGGTGCTCATCATGTTAATTCCAAACAAGAGCACATAAACGATGATTACAGTAATAAGGAGATAGACAGGCAACGCAATAGCCCAGTATTTTTGAGGCCAATAGCTTAAGCCGAAGGAGTGTAGCCAAGATTCAGGAATGAAAGCCCACACAAGATAGAGTATGAAGCCAAACTGAGAACTTAGGAAAAGTACAAAGCCATAAATCGCCCTTTCTGGCAACGGCGACGGTGACTTTTCCACCATTTTCCCCGTGGCTTCGGACTCTCTCGGGCCGGTCACGGAGCTGCGGTTGGGGGAAAACGGCAGGACCGAGGGAAAGGCCAGGAAGCGACGGTGACAGGGGCCAGGCGCTTGCGCCCCGCGAGCCTCGCAGGGAAGTGGGGGAGCCCGCGGGCAGGCTCGACGGGCGGCCTTCTTGTCAAATTCTCCAAGTCTTACAGCCAGTTGACAGGGAGACGGCAGCCGGCACTCCTTCAGCCTTACCGACCGTCCGCGCCTTACTGGAAGTGGCCTTCCTCCTCCCGGAGCAGCGGGGCTCCCAAATCCTCGGAGCGGAACTCCGCGACCATAGAGGTGGCGGAATGCCGGTGTAGAGGGACCGGAAGTGATTCTTCGCCCCCGCCCAAAGGCCGGATTGGGTCTCTGCAGTGTGGGTTAGGTCCGCGCGGCTGTCAGACCTTCCTTTGGTCCTCCGGCTCGGTTCCCCCGGTGTGGTGTCCTCCTCGTACTGGGCCTTGGCGGGGGGGGGAGGGGGAGGCCTAGGGCAATTTTCAGTCTCCTAGCAACGGGTGACGGAGCCGCAGTCTAGGGGAGTGCGGTGCCAGCCTCGCAGCTGCGGCGCTGGCCGGAATCACCGGCCCGGCCCAAACGAGAGCTGAAACCCGGAGCGCGGAATAGGCGGAAATGGCGGACGAGGCGTTGTTTTTGCTGCTCCATAACGAGATGGTGGCCGGAGTGTACAAATCCGCGGAGCAGGGGGAGGTGGTGAGTGCTGGCCCACGCCTCGGGGTCCTTTGGCTGTGACACCTCTGGTTTCCCCTCAGTGCTTTCCTTCATCCCTGTCCCATCGCCACCCAAGGTCCCCGAAGGTCCAGACGAGACTGGTTCACTTCTGGGTATCCCAGACTATAGAACTCCTAGTCTGGCTTCTTTCTTAGTCTTTCACCCTTTTCTCTTGCTTCTCTTTTAGTACTGAATTTGTTTATTTTATGAGTGTTTAACCTTTGTCGAGCAGGTCACGTATTTCTTTCCGCGTCGTACGTACCGTGATTTACAGCAAGGTTAACTGTAGATCTGAGTTTGACACTATTTAATCTTGCTGGCGGTCCAGTCCACTGGACAGACCTGTACTACTTTTAGACTATGCTTCCTTTTTCCCCATCCTAATCCTCAGTATCACTTGCCACAATTTGAGGACGGGACCTACTAAGGTTTGAAGGCAAAGCAAACTTTGCAGGTGTTAACGATAATTATAAAACAATTTAAATTAATTGAGAAGCCATTTAGTGCTTATTATATCAGCTGGCTTTAGGAACTGAGGATTTGAAAGTGAATGAAACAAGGGTCCCATTCTAATAAGTAGAAATTCTAATTCTCATTCATTCATTGATTCATTTACTTATTTATTGGTGCTGCGGATTGAAACCGGGGCCTTGAGCATGTTAGGCAAGTGTTCTACCATTGAGCTACATCCCCAGCCCTTATTCTTATCTTAAAGAAAATTTGTATTATGTGTGCTCTAGCCAGGCGTGGTGGCGTGCTCAGTGAGGCCAAGGCAAGAGGATCACAAGTTTGGGCAACTTAGCCAGACCAATGTCTGAAAATAAAAAGCTCTAGTAATGTAGCTCAGTGCTAGGGCCCTGAGTTCAATTCCAGGTACAGGGGCATGGAGGCTTTGTGGGATAGACATTATGCAGGATAAATGAGATGAAACCCCTGCCTCACAGTCTTTGGAGAAGCTGCAGTTAATGAGTAATTATTGGTTGGTAATTTTTTTTTTTTGAGATGGAGTTTTGCTACAGAAGTTCAAGCTTGCTTCAAACTCACTGTCTAGGCCATGCTGGCCTCAAACTCATGATCCTCCTGCCTCTTCCTCCTGAGTGTGGAGATTACAGGTGTGCACCGCCACACACATCTGGGTATGATCCTTTTTTTTTTTTTTTTTAAAGATAGGGTCTTGCTTAGTAGTGCAGGCTGGCCTTGAGTTCACTATGTAGCCCAGGCTGGCCTCAGACTTGCAGGGATTCTTCTGCCTCAGCTTCCTAAATGCTGGGATTACAGGTGTGCACGACCTCACCTGGCTGTATGATATATTTAAACATATTATTTGGAAGACACATGAAGAAGAATACTATTGGAAATGAAGCACATTCATTCTTTCTCTCCCTTTCCTTCCTTCCTTCCTTCCTTTTTGTGGTACTGGGGATCAAACCCAGAGGCTCTGGACCGCTGAGCTACATGCACAGCCCTTTTTCATTTTAAGACTGTTTTGCTAACCTGCTCAGCTGGGACTTGAGCTTGTGATCCTCCTGCCATAGCCTCCCTCCCTCATTTCTGGGACTACAGGCATGTGCCACCACATCTGGCTGCAAATTCATAGATATTTTATGTCGTAAATTTTTCACTGTCATCATCATCAGTATTTGCCGTTTGTGCAAAGCTGCCCTTGTTTCCTGTTCTTCCCAGAGACCAGTTAGCAGCACAGTCTTTTCAGTCCTATCATTCTCTCCATACTTACTTTCCCATTTGGAAGTCCTGCTCGACAGCCTTTTTCCTTAAAGCCTTGTCTTTTTTCAGTGGGTTAACTCAGAATAAAAGTTCTCCTGACTGATGATTGTAAGAGATGTGCTATCCATAAGTTTTGAAATCAGACTAAAAATAATTTTCCAGGGCCCAGGATTTAGCTCAGTGAAATAATTTTCCAGGGCCCAGGATTTAGCTCAGTGACGCTGCGCCTGGCTCCCAAGCACAAAGTCCTGAGTTCAATCCCTGGTACTGGAAAAAAACAACAACAAACAAACAAATAAATAAAAAATACTTTCCTGTTCTTATTCTGTCCTATAGCAAAAATGGTTTTACAAAACAGGTATGTGGCAATTTTGATAATCAGAATCGACATTGGAATCTGGGTGTATGAAGATCATTGTATTAATGTCTCTACTTTCAATGTGCTTAAAATTTTTCATAATAAAAAATGCTTTAAACATCCAGAAATGGTTTTTTATAAATCTTTTCAGACTGAAATAATTTCTGGATAATAGGTTATGTGTCTTTTACATTTTTTACTATGGAAAGAGTAAAAGAAATAAACATTTATAATCTTTGAGTAAATGAAGTAAACTTTTTTTTTGAAGTAAACTTTCATAAGTTGTGGAGTTAATCAGTATTTTTGTTTTGTGTTGTTTTTTTGAGACAGGGTCTCACTGTGGAGTTCAGGTTGGCCTTTAATTCACTGTGTAGCCCAGGCTGGCCCCAAACTCACTGCAATCTTCCTGCCTCAGCCTCCTGAGTGCTGGGATTACAGGTGTGTGCCACCATGCTTAGTATAAAGAATCAATGATTTTCAAACTATCCTTGAAGAGGAATTAAATCTCTAAAAATTGAATAATTGGACATTTCCCGGTCTGTGGAGAATGGGTTTAAAAATGGTTAATGAAAACCGTAAATCCTAGCACTCTGAGAGGCTGAGGAAGGAGGATAGAAAGTTCAAGCCCCCTGGGCAACTCAATGATTTAGCAAGACCCTGTCTCAAAATTAACAGTAAAGGGCTGGGAAGGTAGCTCACTGTGGTTGGGGGTGGCTTTGAGAGTACCTTTTCCCCAGTACTGGGGTCAAACCCATACACTAGGCAAGCTCTCTACTACTGAGCCACACCCCAACCCTCACTGTAACGCCTCACAAAGGGAATTTAATCTCAGCACCGGCGCCCTTGAGGACAAATTAAAGCCATAACCAAATCATGGCACCTTCACTTCACACTTGGATCCAGAGAGCCTCAAAATGGAAACATTTTACTAGCAGGTTTAACAGCAACCACAAAAACACATTAAACGTATGAACTACTCCTTCAAGCGTACTTACAGTGTACTTGCTTCACCTCAGTGTTTCTTGGCAAAAGAAGCAAGTGGAAACCTCTAGTCCAGAAATGCACTTTAGGAAAAATGAAACTGGCAGTAAATACGTATTTTTGGGCTGGATATTTAGCTCAGTGGTGCTGGCACCTGGCTTGCAAGCACAAGGTGCTGAGTTCGATCCCCGGTACCAAAATACAAAATAAATAAGTACAATTTTTTTTTTTGGTACCAGGGACAGAACTCGGGTCTTTGCGCTTGCGCAGCACGCGGCGAAACCACTGAGCTAAATCCCTGGCCCCAAAATAAATAAGTAAATCCATACTTTGGTAATTTTTTTTCACGTTGTTGAATTTGTGCAACACTATACTATCTTACTTTTCATTGGGTTTTCCCATTTACTTGCATGTTTATATTATTTACTCTGGTGGGAGTTTTCATATATTTTGAGTTTATTTTTGTTTTTTGAGGCAGGGTCTTGCTATATTTTGTTCAGGCTGTGTAGCCCACTGTGTAGCCCAGGTTGACCTCAAACTCTGCCTCAACCTCCTGGGTGCTAGGATTACAGGTGTGCGCCACCATGCCTAGATGATTGTATTTATTAAAGTTGAAAACTTACTGTTTTTTGTTTGTTTTGTTTTGTTTGTTTGTTTTTGGTACCGGGGATCGGACTCATGTCCTTGCGCTTGCGCAGCAGGTGGCGAAACCACTGAGCTAAATCCCCGACCCTGAAAACCCTTACTTTTCTCAGAATTTCCATCCACTGTATATTGTCATGTTTTTAGCAAAAATTTTACAGTCATTTTTTAATACTAACATCCTAGCATTCTAGAAGTATTCAAAACTTTTTTTTTTTTAAATAGGAAAATGGGCGATGTATTACTAAGCTGGAAAACATGGGGTTTCGAGTGGGACAAGGATTGATAGAAAGGTGAGCAGTATGGATTTGAAAATTTTCTTCCAGGTAGGTTATAAATAAAGATGATCTGTTTCAGAAGATTGCATAAAACTTGAGATTTTTATTTTAATTTCCAAGCTTTAATTCTCTGTTCTTTAATTACAGATTGAAATTTCTTTTTGTGGGGTTGGGGTTGTAGCTCAGTGTTACAGTGCTTGGTTAGTACACACAAGGCCTTGGGTTCTGTCCTCAGTACCAAAATAAAGAGAGATTTCATTTTAGGTCTGATATTAGTTTAACTCAGTATTCAAATTTTATGTTTTATCACTTGAAGGAAACGTTTTATACACTTAAGGTTTTTTTTTCCCCTGAAAATATTGGTCTATTGAAATAACTATTTAAAATCTCATTACATTTTCCACTTTTTTTGGAGACAGGGTCTCAACTCTGTAATTCAGGCTGGCCTTGAACTTGCTGTGTAGCCCAGGCTGGCCTCAAACTCATGGCAGTCCTTCTGCCTCAGCCTCCTGAGTGCTGGGCTTACAGGTGTGTGCCATTATGCTTAGCTTACATTTTCTTTTTGTTTGTTTGTTTGTTTGCTTTTTGGTACCAGGGATCGAACTGGGGACCTTGTGCTTTCAAGGCAGGCGGCGGGCACCACTGAGCTAAATCCCTGGCCCTTATATTTTCTACTTAAGGACTAGTACAGTGATGGCAAATCTTTTAGAGCTTTCAGTGATACAAATGGCCCGCTGTGGCACATGTGCCATAGGTTCACCACCACTGATCTAGTAGGTTCTTTAACCTGAATGGAATTTTGTCTAAAAAAGTCAGGGGGAGCTGGACATGATGCTGCATGGCACATGCCTGTAATCCCAGCATTCAGGAGGCCAAAGCAGGAAGATGACTGTGTTTGAGGCCAGCCTGAACGGCATAGTGAGACCTTGTCTCAAAAGAAAAAAGTCAAGGGTAAAAATGCCTTAAAGTCCATGTTTATACATGTAATCTTCCAGTTCATAGATCAGTTTTTTATTTATTTTTAATTTTGTGTGTGTCCTTCCTTGTATGTGTTGAGCCCAAGGCCTTTGCACTGAGCTATATCTCCAGCTCTTTTTTTTTTTTTCTTTTTTTTGAGATAGGGTCTTGCTATGTAGTTTAGGCTGGCCTAGGTAGCCCAGGCTGGCTTTGAACTCCTGGTGATTCTCCTGCCTCAGCTTCTGAGTGATTATAGGGGAGTGCCATGCCTGGCTTTTTATTTTGAGAGGGGGCCTGGGTAAGTCACTAAATTACCCAGGCTCTACCTCAGCCTCCTAGAGTGCAGGGATCACAAGCATATGCCATCCCACTTGGTTTTTATTTTTATTTTTCGTAGTACTGTGGATTGAACCCAAGATCTTGTGCATGCTAGGCGAACTTTCTACCACTGACCTATGTCCCCAGTCCTTTTTATTTTTGGTTTGAGCTGGAGTCAGGGTCACATTAAATTGGCCCTGATGGCCTTGAGTTTGTAATCTTCCTGCCTCAGACAACTGAGAAGCTATGATTACTGTGCCTAGCTATGGATCGGGGTTTTTTAGTATTCTTTTATCAATATCTGAATAGTTAAATTCTGAGTATATTTTATATAACAATACTATTATCTTGCTTAGCTCTGTTTTTTAAGTGCTCCATTTGAGTGTACCTGAAATTTTGACTAAACTGTTAGACTAATAAAAATAAACTCGTAGGTCCAATAATTGTATAAGAGAAGCAGTGTTAATCCATTGAGATGGGATCTGCTTTGCTCGGTGCTTATCATTTTATGACTAAGTAAATGTCCAATGCTGATGTGGCATTTGGAAGTTATTTAATGGGTTGTCCCTCTTGGGGAGAATGAGAAAAAACATTTGCCTCGTTTGCTTTCTTTGAAAAAAATATTGTATTACTTCTAGTTGATCTTTTTAGGTTTACAAAAGATACTGCAAGGTTCAAGGATGAGTTAGACATCATGAAGTTCATTTGTAAAGATTTTTGGACTACAGTATTCAAGAAACAAATCGACAATCTAAGGACAAATCATCAGGTATTTAGATAAATTAAGGCTAATTTTTAAGTCCTGTATCTTAGTATGAATGTTCTAGTTTAGCAATTTATTTAAAATTTAAAATAATTTCTGATCAACCTGGGAATGTTTCTCTTACATTATTCATGTCATTAGGTTTTTTTCTTTAATAGGGTAAAGTGAATAAAGGCAAATTGATACTTATCAGTATATCTATGGTTATTTGCTTCAATTACACGTTATGTAAAAATTTTACATGTAGCAAATGTCAGAACTATTGATTTTAGAATTTAGTTCCTTACTTATTACTAAGTGGTGATAATATGCAGAACCAGAGATATATCACATTTTTATCCTTTTAGAATAGCTTCTAAAGTCTAATTTTTTGTTTGTTTTTTTGAAATAAGGTATCACTGTGTAGCCCAGGTTGATCTTGAACTCATGATGATCCTCCTGCCTCAGCCTCATGAGTGCTGGGATTATAGGCATGTGCCACCATGCCTGACTTCTGAAGTCTAATTTAAAGCCACATTTAACTCTTAAATCTTTTATTTTTAATTTAAATTTAAATTTTTTTGCAGTGCTTAAGATTGAACCACGGCAAGGACCTTAGCACTGAGCTACATTCCCAGCCCTTTTTTATTTTTTCATTTTGAAACACAGTTTTGCTAAGTTACCCGGACTGGGCTCAGACTTGCACTTCTTTTGCCTCAGTTCTAGAGTGTTAGGATTCGAGGAGTGCCACCATGCACACTCCTGGAAAATGAATAACTCTTGTGTTGTTTATTACTGCTGTAATTTCTTTCCTTAAGATTTTGTTACTACAAAATTAGATTACCTAGAAAACTGCATTTGAACAGATTGATTTTCTTTTTTTTTTTTGGTGCTGGGGATCGAACTCGGGTCCTTGCACTTGCGCAGCAGGTGGCGAAACCACTGAGCTAAATCCCTGGCCCTACAGATTGATTTTCTTTTATAAACCCCCAGGGACTACTTTTGGGTGGATTTGGCATTTTGAGTAAGTTTTTAAAATGAAAATAATGTATCTAGTACTACCAGTAGAATTCATTTTTTCATATAATACCATCCTTAACTGGAATTGTTTGAAATTGAATTGCTTTTTAGACTTGTTCTAATAATATATAACAATTTCATGTGAATATGTATTAGTATAAGACTGAGGTGTTTTTTTGGTTTTTAAAAAAATTTTTGTGGTACTATAGATTGAACCCAGGGCATTCACACTGGGCTATATGACTACTTATCCCTCCTAACCTCTGCCCCTGTTTTTTTGAGATAGGGTCTCACTAAGCTAAGTTGCCTAGGCTGGGCTTAAATTTGTGATTCTCCTGCCTTAGCCTCCGGAGTGCTGGGATTACAAACATGTGCCAAAATGTCTGGCCTTTTTTTTTTGTACCGGAGATCAAACTTGGGACCCTGTGCTTGCGAGGCAGGCGGTGGAACTATTGAGCTAAATCCCCAGCCCTTTTTTTTTAATGTAGTACTGATGATCAAACGCAGGGCCTCACACATGCTAGGCAGGAGCTCTACACTGAGCCACATCCTTAGCCCAACTCTTGAGTTCTTATCTTCAGTGCATAGTTATATTTAGGAAATAGTGCTGTGGAATACTGAACTCACAGCTCTTAAGCTTGAACATTGCAAAATTCCTTCACTTAAAGAAAAACTGAGCTGGGAGTGGTGGTGCACACCTGTAATCCTAGCACTCTCGGGGCTGAGGCCAGCCTGAATTACAGAGCAAGACCCTGTCTCAAAAAAAAAGACCAGGGAAATGGAGAATGTTAATAACTTTATAAAACTCTTAAATTGTTTTATAGGAAGAAGATATTTTTAAGGATTACTGACTTGGATGTTTTGTGTATTTTTGAAATAGGGCATCTATGTACTTCAGGACAACAAATTTCGTCTGCTTACTCAGATGTCTGCAGGAAAACAGTATTTAGAACATGCATCTAAGGTACTTAAAAGAAGACTGGGTTTTCTACTAAGAAACAAGTAGAATTACAGGGATCAATGCCGATCACAACAGACTCTTGAATTTAAAATAGTTTTAAAGGGCCAGGATTTAGCTCAGTGGTGCCGCTGCCTGCCTCGAAAGTGGAAGGTCCCAAGTTTGATCCCCAGTACTAAAAAAAAAAAAAAGTTTTACAGTTGTACTTGTTTGTAGGGCCATTTTCTATTAAATAGGATGTGTTCATCATGTTCACGATGAGTTATATATACTAAACGGTAACAGAAACTACTACTAAATGCCAATGAATGCAGATTTCTTATATCCTTTAATATAGCATAGATATATCAGTAAAGGTATAAAACTGATGTTTGCTGTGCACAGTTATTCATCTCTGAGTTTATGATGTCTTTTAGTAGACTAAAACATTTAAAATAAAGTATTTGATTCTAAGAATATATGTTTCATCTTAAGTATATATCTGAGTTTCTGGGTTTTGTTTAATTTTTTTTTTTTGGTACCAGGGATTGAACTCAGGTTCTTGCGCTTGTGAGGCAGGCAGCAGAACCACTGAGCTAAATCCCCAGCCCTTGTATAATTTTTGTTTTTAGTTTTGTTTCCATTTTTTCGCTTTTCACTTTTTTTCTTGTCCCTTCCTTCCTTTCTCCCTCCCCCCTCTCTTATTCTCCTTCCCATTTGAACATTTTCTTCCCATTTCCCAACATCTATTATATATTTTAGTCCTCATTTCCACTTTCAGTTTCTCACACCAGAGAAACAATGCAGTATTTAAACATGTGCATTCAATTTATTTCACCTAAGAATATGGTCTCAAGGTGCATCCATTTAGCTATAAATGTCTGAAGCTCATCCTTCTTTATAGCAGAGTAGTACTCCATCATCTATCCATTTGTCAGTTAATGGGCATTTGGGCTATTTTGAAGATTTAGCTATTTCAAACTTTGCCTCTGTAAACATGGGTATGCATATATCACTGTGGTAGGAAGCTTTGGAAGATACCAAGAAGGGGAATAGCTGGGTCAAATGGAACCTCTAGTTTTAGTTTTTTGAGGAAGCTCCACACTGATTTCCATAGTCGTTGCACCAGTCTACACTCCCACCAACAGTGGAGAAGGGTTCCTTTTCCCCACAGCCCTGCCAGCATTTGTTACTAGTTGATTTCTTGATAACAGCCATTCTTTCTGGGTGAGAAGGAATCTCAGTGGTTTGGTTTTTTTTTTTTTTTTTTTTTTGGTACTGGAGATTGAACTCAAGACTTTGCACTTGCCGGGCAGGTGTGACACCACTGAGTTACATCCCCGGCCCCTCAGCATTGTTGTAATTTGCATCTCTCCAATGACCAGTGATGTTCAGTGTTTTTTTTGTATATTTATTTGCAGTTTCTACTTCATCTGAGAAGTATCTATTCATTTCAGATACCCATTTTTGCATTGGCTCTTTGGGGGGGATCTGATTTTTTTGAGTTCTTTATATGTTCTAGGTATTAGTCCATTGTCTGAGGAATAGCTGGCAAAAGTTTTTCCCCACATTGTGGATTGTCTCTGCACTATGTTGGTTTTTCTTGCCATGCAAAAACTTTTTAATAAGATGAGGCCCTCGTTGTTGATCCTTTGTAGTATTTCCTGTACAGTCTGGGTATTGTGCATAAAGTCTTTGCCTATTCCTATGTCCTCATGTATTTTACCTATTCTCTCTTCCAGCAGAGTTAGTGTTTCTGTTTTAATATTTAGATCTTTGATCCATTTCAATTTTAGATTAGTACCTGGTGAAAGATATAGGTCTAGGTTAAATCTTCAATATGTGGAAAGCCAGTTTTTCCAGCATCATTTATTAAGGAGGCTGTCTCTCTTCCAGGGAAGGTATATGGCTCCTTTGTCAAACATAAGGTGGCTGAGTATGTCTGGCCTTGTTCTTTCTGCATCTTCTAATCTGTTGCATTGATCCCCAGGCCTGTTCAAGTACCATGCTGTTTCTATCACAGTAGCTTTGTAGTATAATTTCAGGTCAAGGATTATGGTGCCCTCTGCCTTGTCTTTGTTGTTCAGAATTGCCTTTGCTATTCTAGGTCTCTGCTGGTTCCAAATGAATTTTAAGATTGTTTTCTCTAACTCTGTGAGATATGCTATTGGTATTTTGATCAAGATTGCATTAAATATGTATAAGAATTTTGGAAGTATGGCCATTTTCACTATTTGGTTTTTCCTATCCAAGAACAAGGGTTAGCTTTCCATTTTCTGATATCGTCTTTGATCTCCTTTTTCAGAGTGCTGTAGTTTTCCTTTTTTTTTTTTTTTTGGTACCAGGGATCGAACTCGGGTCCTTGTGCTTGCGCAGCAGGCGGTGAAACCACTGAGCTAAATCCCCGGCCCTGTAGTTTTCAATGTAGAGGTCTTTTACTTCCTTTGTTACATTGATTCCTAGGTATTACATTTTTTTGTGTGCTATTGTGAAAGGTGTTTCCCTGATTTCTGACTCAGTGAGTTTGTTATTCGTGTATAGGAATGCTGTTGATTTTTGTGTGTTGACTTTGTATCCAGATACACTGCTGAATTTGGTTATCAAATCTAGAAATCTTTTGGTGGAGTTTTTGGGGTCTTCTATGTAGAGTCATGTCATCTGCAAATAATGATAATTTAAGTAGTTTTAATATAAGGGTTTCTTTGAAGTGATTTAAATATTTAAGGTAGTATGAGTTGCTACTTGTCTGTAAAAAATTGTCCCTATCTCAATTATCTGGCCAAAAGGCAGTGCTGGGAAAGGTGATTTTTGTTTGTAAACCTAGCTACTTGAGAAGCTGAGGCAGGAGGATTGCTAGTTTGAGGTTAGCCTGAGCAGCTTGGTGAGATGCTGTCTCAAAACAAAGACAAGATCTCACAGAAAAGCAATATAGTTATAGTGTAAATATAGTCATGGGAGTAAATAAATTAGGTCTTAAGCCTAAGCGCTACAATTTAGAGATTTGTGAAACTGAGTAAGTTACATAACTCCTCTGAAACTAGTTTCCTTATTAATAAAATGAGTTTTATCACAGTTATATATCATTGTCTTGAGATTTACATGTATTTAAAGTACTTAACATGCTGAGCGTGGTGGCAGATGCTTGTAATCACAGCTACTTGGGAGATTGAGGCAGAGGATCACAAGTTCAGGGCCAGCTTGGGCAGTTTATTAAGACATCCCTGTCTCAAAATTTTAGGGTCCCCCAACCCCATAAACAAAAAAAACAGCAAAAAGGTAGAGTTGTGGGTATAGCTCAGTGCTCCCTGGTTCAATCCCCAGTACTGAAAATAAATAAGTACGAAGCTACAGGAGGCCAGCACAGCACTGCTTAGCTCCTCGGGAGGTTGCTTGAGGCAAGGGTTTTGCTTTTGCCAAGGAGCCTGAGGCCAGGCTGGGCAATACAGCAAGACATGATCTCAAAGAAACCAAAAAAGGTTCAGCTAGGGATTTAGCTCAGTGGTTCCGCCACCTGCCTCTCAAGCACAAGGTTCTGAATTCGATCCCAGTACCAAAAAAAAGCCCCAAAAAAGTTAACATGGTGCTTTGTACCTAGAGGGGCAAGGAGTGGACATGAAACTTTCTTTTCATAATTTTATTTCATTGGTTCATGATTGATTGCTTATTTTCTATATTTTGGGGGTATCTAGGCTCTTATTATATTTTTATGTTTCTTTTTTTTGTTAACATCTCATTTGACTATTTTTAAGAATAATTGTTCGTACATGTTTGCAGTACATAATGGTTACATTCATTGTGGGTTTTTTTGTTGTTTTGAGGTGGAGTCTCGGGAGTCTCACTGTGTATGTAGTACAGGCTGGCCTTGAGCTTGCACTCCGGTCTTGGCCTCCCAAGGTCTGGGGATTGTAGCGCTGCACCCCAACACTGGCTGCTGTTCATATTTGAACAGTAATTCTGTGTTGTGGCAGGCAATAAGTGTTAAACAAGTAGAGGTGTTTTTTTTTTTTTTTTTTTTTTGTTGTACCGGGGATCAGACTCAGGACCTTGCACTTTCAAGGCAGGCGCGGTACCACTGAGCTAAATCCCCAGCCCTACAAGTAGAGATTCTTAGTGGTAGATAGTGAAAACCAACTGTGGTTGAATGGAATATTAATAGGCTACGAAACTGATAAGAAGGCTCAGAAAACAGGCAAGAAACACAGGAGTTTTAAGCAACCAGAAAAAATCCAAACCACTGTTACAGGGAGGGTCTAGTTAGAATCCTGTAGTTAGCATGGACAGTAGACACAAGCTGCCTTTCCTATCTCCAGAACTAAATCGACTCACTGGATTGGAGCACCTGACTGGTCTCACTTCAGTTATGTGTGCGTATACTTTGGTCATCAGTAAGAAAAGCTCTTCACAGTCATCATCTTCCCACCCTTTCTTCTCTCACTCCTCTCCTTCCCCCCTCCTTTTGTTTGTTTGTTTTTTTGAGATCTAGCTATGTTGCCCAGGCTGTCTTTGAACTCTTTGGCTCAAGTGATCTGCCTTACCTTACAGGGGAAGGACTAAAGGGATGTATGTATTATCACTCCAAGCTTTTTGTAACTTTCTGGTTTTTAAACAGCAATGACTAGCCGGGCGTGGTGGTGCATGCCTGTAGTCCCAGCACTCGCAGTCCCAGCACTCAGAAGGCTGAGGCAGGAAGAGTGCCACAAATTCTGGGCTTCTAGTGAGTTCAAAGCCAGCCTGATTTACATAGCAAGACTTTGTCTCAAAAAACCAAGACCAAAACCAAAACCAAAAAAAAAAGCAGCAGTGACTTATTGATACCATGGTTTAACTAAAATGCTGTATTTATTGGTGGTTTTTCTGTATTTTTAATAATTTTTTTCCTTTTAGTATCTAGCCTTTACATGTGGCTTAATCAGAGGTGGTTTATCAAACTTGGGGATAAAAAGTATTGTAACTGCCGAAGTGTCTTCAATGCCTGCTTGTAAGTTGAGTTCACATTTCTGACAAATATTTTTCACATGTGGATTTTTAAAAGTTATTTAAAACACAGGAGACATTAAAAATGTTGAAGCCTGTGATATTTTATACAAGAACACTTCAGATGTGTTATTAGATGTGACTGATTTTAATAAATCCTATTAGATTTGTATCAACTAGTTACATGTTCTATTCATAGTCTTTTGTGAATCATTGCCTTTTTATTTAAAAAGATGGCCTATTTTGAGCCTTTGTATAGGTACATTCCTATTTTTGTGACAAAAACTTTAAACTGTCCCAAACAGAAAAATAATGGCTATCCAGAAGTATGTTTTGTTTTAGTGTGAGTTATCATTACTGTATTTGTTTATTGTAAAGGTGGACATTTAGCATTCAGTGCAGTTTTCAATAAAAAGTAATTTAAAAAAATGTTGAAACCTTTTCATTTTTGTGTCAACATGCAGTGAATAATACATAGTATACAATACCATAGTCAGGAAGTTTTGAATTAATAAGAGTAATTTAAGAAAATCCACTAAAGAAATCCAAAATTATAAGACAATTTAAGGGAAAGTTCTTAACTTTTAAGGGGAAATTTTCTGCAATTTTTTTGTTTTTGGATTTTGAAGTGGTGGAGGTCAAACCCAGGGCCTCACACATACTAGGCAAAGGATATATCACTGAGCTTCAACCCCCACCCCTGCAGTATGCTTTTAAGATAGCAGCTTTTGCTACAGCACTGAAATGTCTTGTTTTGTTTTGTTTTGTTTTTGTTTTTTGGTACCGGGGATCGAACTCAGGACCTTGTGCTTTCGAGGCAGGTGCGGTGCCACTGAGCTAAATCCCCAGCCCTGAAATGTCTTTTATTGTTGAGCAGTTGCTTAGAATATATCTATTATATGATGCTAAATAAAACCAGCTAGTTTTTTATTATTAAACTCCTTCCCAAAGATCCCCTCAAAAATAATATTTGCTAGGGCCAGGGATTTAGCTCAGTGGTTCCCCTGTCTGCTTTGCAAGCGCAAGGTCCTGAGCTCGATCCCTGGCACCAAAAAATCCAAAAAACAAACAAACGAAAAAATAACATCTGCTTGAGCTTCAGTGATTATTAGTGAAACACTCAGAAGTAGGAATCACAAAATGAAACAAAGGCACAAGTTTATATTCCAGGAAATCATCTAACAAAAATGGAGTTGACTATTTCATATTGTAAGGAGTGTGGAAAGATGTTTGACCTGACAAGTTTCTTGACTGAAATCGCTTCCTAAATGGAACAAAAAATTGATATATAGGCTTTCTTTGTACCTAAAATTTAAAAAATGATTTTTATGTTTTCTTTTTTAGGCAAATTTCAGGTGATGATACAGAAGCTGTAAACATACTGAAATGCAAGACTTCTACAGTGTAAAGACAAATTATTCCCATGTAAGCATTTTAAATAATGATGTAACTACATTGCTGGATGTTTGTACAGGAGTAAGGGTGTATTTTATCAATTTAATGCAGACTAAGTTAAAGCAGATAAAAGGTCATTCTACCATGGCATAAACTTTAATGAAACTATTCAAAATGGAAACTTGATTTCAAATAACTGGACACCAAAATGCATTCTAAATATTTTTATTTACTTAGAGTGATAACCACAGATGGAACTTAGGTTCTGTTGAAGTGGCATAAAGAAAAGTATGCCCCAGTCAGGATCATTTGTGTTAAGGATGACTGATGTTAGATAAAGTGTGAATCTATTTTAGTTATTTTTAAAAAGCAAACAGTACACTAAATTAAGTTTAACTTTTTATTTTGTTGCTTGTAATTTATTTTTATGACTGTATAAGGATTTGCTATATACATTTCGTGTACATGTGTGAATACAGATATAAATACAAAATGACCTTAAATTGCTTGAAAACTTAATTTCATTTTAATACGTTTTCATAGTTGAGAGCGCCGTAGATGTAATAAAAGTGAAATACAGATTATTTTAAATGTGAACTCAGTGATTCTAGGGCCAAAACATATTAGATATGTTGAGAGGAATTCTTACATTCTTTCTTCTTTTTTTTTTTTGCAGTGCTGGAGATTGAACCCAGTGCTTTGTGCATGTTAGGAGAGTGCTCTACCACTGAGCCCATATTCCTTATTGTTTTTTGTTTGTTTTTTTAAGTACTGGGGATTGAACCCAGGGCCTTAGCAGTGAGCCACATCCCTGGCCCTTTTTATTTAATTAATTAATTAAGTTTTTGATACTGGGGATCGAACTTGGGACCTTGTGCTTGTGAGGCAGGGGGCAGAACCACTGAGCTAAATCCCCAGCCCTGGCCCTTTTTTATTTTTTGACAGAGTCTTGCTAAGTTTCTGGGTTACCAGGCTGGGTTCAAACTTGTGATCTTTCAGCTTCAGACTTTTAGAGTGCTGGCACTGCAGGTGTGCACACTACACTACACTTGGCTTATTATTTATTCTTGACTTTCAAGTTCTCCCCATGCATGGAAGTCCTGGTGAAAGTTCTAAGATCTTTATGCCCTGTTTTACTCTTTCACAGAGGTAGAGGGTAGATAATTAGACCAATATTCATTACATCATACCTTCTGTGGGCTGGGGTCAGTACTTATCTAGTACCTGTCTCAGTACCTTTTCCATTACTTTATCTTAGTTATTTGGCTTAAGCAGGTATCTCTTAAGATTTTGTGAGAACTCTGCATTTTAGGGTATCTGTACTTTGACTATTGAAACTGTAGTATTTCCAATTTAATGATTACCCTTGCGTATATATTTGTTTGACAGGGAGTACTGGAGAATGGAGTGATTGACACACCAAAAAAACTGGATGAAAATGGGAAATTAAATAATGGCGATTTCTAAAAAAATGAACTAAAACTTTTTTTTGAGACAAGATTTTGCTATGCAGTTCAGGCTGACCTCAGACTCATAGCAATCCTCCTGCCTCAGCCTCCTAAGCACTGGGATTACAGGTGTGTGCCACCATGCCTGGCTTGCAAAACATTTTACTGAAAACATGAAGTAAAAACTAAGAATTTTTTTAAGAGCTGAGCATGGTGCCACATTCCTGTAATCCTAGCACAGCACTGCAATTTTGAGGCCAGCCTAAACTGCATAGCAAGACCTTGTTTTAAAAACTCAATAAACAAGGGGCTGGGGATTTAGCTCAGTGGTTCCGCTGCCTGCCTCGAAAGCACAAGGACCTGAGTTCGATCCCCAGTACCAAAAAAAAAAAAAATAAACAAAACAAAAAATTTATTTTAGCACATAAGAAAAAATTAAATTATGTTGAGTTAGAGGTACCGTAAATCCCCAACTTATCATGAATGAGTTCCATTCCAGGAGAATGCTTATAAGTCCAGCAAAGTGAGTCTCACAGACTTAACACATATATACAGTGTAAAGCATAACACAAATACTGTAAACAATCTATTTTTACTTTCCTAGTTACCTTAAAATGGTGGTATAGTCCAGCACAACAACTGGCATGTAGGAGATTGCATGGAGTGAGCTGACAAGAGAGTTACTAACTGGAGGAGGGAAGGCAGGGCAGAGGTAGGTGCCTATGATGAGAAAAGAAGAGCTACCACTCAGACATCACTGATCATTTTTTAAGAAGGTAAAAAGAATTGAATCCATCAAGAAACCTGTCATCAACATCAGGTGTGAGTGCGATTCCTCTGCCCTCCATCTCCTGTTGCTGATGATCCTTCAGCTCCCCATCTCCCCCACCCTCCTTCTTCCAGTCAGTACCTGTTGCACTGCACAGCACACACGTGCAGCACAACTGGGACAGCGTCTTGCAGACACATGAGCTACTTCATGAATGTTTGTAAGGCGAGGCATGTTTGTATTTGTAAAAGTTCGCACCTTGAATGTTCTTAAGTTGGGGACTTTCTGTATATCATTTTTCTTTCTTACAAAGGGGCAGCATTATAAAAAAGTTTTTTCAATTTATTAAAGTATTCTTAATTCTCAGATGACTTAGAACATATTTTTTTCAGATTTTGAAAAATTCAGGAACAACCCTACCAAATATAAAAGTATGTAAAATGTAGCAGTTAAAAAAGATCATGATGGGGCCGGGGATTTAGCTTGGTGGTTCTGCCACCTGCCTCGAAAGCGCAAGGTCCCGAGTTTGGTCCCTGGTACAAAAAAAAATAAAGTGCAATAAACATCATGTCTGGGTATGGTGGCACATGTCTATAATCTAGGCTGCCTTGGAGCCTGAGGCAGGAGGAGCTCAGGTTTGGGTCCAGCTTGGACATTCAGTGACTTAGCAAGACTTTTTCTCAAAATTAAGAAAAATAAAAAGGACTGGGGTATAGTTCAGTGTGAAGGCCCTGGGTTCAGTTCCCAGTACCACTGAAAAAAGCCAGGGGGAGAAAAGGGGAGGAGGAAAGACAGGAAGGGGAGGGGGTCAGGGATTTGGGGTTTTTTCCCTTCAGTAGTAGGGATTGAATGTAGGGGCTTCCAGGTGCTAGGTTAATGCTCTACCACTGAATTATGTCCCCAGCCCTTTTTGTGTTTTATTTTGAGACAGGGTCTTGCTAAATTGCCCAGGATGGCCTTAAACTTGTAATCCTCCTGCCTCAGCCTCCCACGTAGTTAGGATTGCAGGCATGCATTACCATGTCCAACTTGCAAAAATTTCATTTTTTTTTTTGCTTAAATTCTTTTATTGGTACATTTTTGGTATACAGTATGTTTACATTCATCATTGGGTGCTTGTACCTGTAATGATGTATCTTGGTTCTTATTTTTTCCCCATTCCCTGTGTACCCTTCCCTATTTACATAGACTGTGTTTCCATTTTTTTCTTTTCTCATAAATTTTCCTTTTCCTTCTTTCCTTTCCCTTTCCCCTTCCCCCTCCCACTTCCCCTCCCCCTTTGGACCTTTTCTTCCTATTTCAAATTATCAATTATTCATTTTAATCCTTATTTACACTTTCAACACTATCAGTTTCTCACACTAGAGAAACTATTTGGGTATTTACACGTGAGTCCTATTTATTTCACTTAAGAGTATGGCCTCGATATGCATCCATTTAGCTATAAATGTCTCTAGTTTCTCGTTCTTTATGGCTGAGTAGTACTCGATTTTATTAAAAAACCACATCTTCTTTATCCAGTTTCCAACTTGGAAAATTTTAGTTGCTTTTAAAATAGGTAAAATAGCCAGACAGGTTATATGCCTGTAATCCCAGCTGTCTACCTATTCTGGAGGGCTGAGGCAGGAGGATCACAGTTTGAGGCCAGCCCAGCGAAAAGTGACCCTACCTCAAAATAAAGTTTTAGAAAGTGCTCAGCATATAGCTATGTGTTAGATCACTTTCATAGGATGGATGAGGCCTGGCTTCAGTTCCCAGAATTGGAGTAGGACAGTGTAAGAGCTGGGAGTGTGGCTCAGTGGTAAAGCACTTGCCTGGCATGTACCATGCCTTGGGTTTGATTATCCTGATCCTGAGGAAAAAAGAAAAAGATACAAGATAGGGATTTGTTTTTTGGTACTGGGGATCAAACTCAGGACCTTGTACTTTCGAGGCGGTGGCAGAACCACTGAGCTAAATCCCTGGCCCACAAGATAGGGATTTGTCCCCTTCTCCCTAAGTGAAGGTATATGATAATGGATGCCTGGAGCTAATCTGCACCAGACTTCTGATGAGCATGAAGATGAAAGCCATCACACTGAGAATAGCAGACAGAAAGCGCCTCAGTTGTGCTTCTTCATAGCCAGACTTGGAACTGCTCTACCGATGAACTTTTAAAAAATGTTAGATATTATATTCCTTATGGGCAATCTTAATTGTCAACTTGATTGGCTTGAGCTGGCCAGATCAGTAAAGCCCTCTTGGTGTTACCTGGGAAGGTTGTTTGCATGACCTTGGGAATTACATACCCCCTACCTCCTTCCTCTTGGGTTCTTTTCTCTTTTTGCTTCCTGGGTGTCATACTTGGGCAGCTTTCCTATACTATATCCTTCCTTCATGATGTTTCTGCCTTGGAGCCAGCTGACCTGGTCTGAAATCCCTGAAACTGTTAGTAAATAAACTTCTGCTTCAAGCTGTGGTGTCAGCAAGCAACACTAAGGTAACTATTCTGTTCAATCCACTTTGGGTTATGTATTTTGTTACTCACAGCCACAAGAAACCTCTTAGTAGAAATAAGGGGGAAATCAAGTTTTCCACGAAATGGCATAGGACAACTGAATATTCTTTTTCTAAGGAGGGAGACAAACTTAAAGGATTACATACAAAACAGTAAAATCATAGAGTACTGCAGGTGTGGTAGTGTTCGTCTAAAATTTCAGCACTTTAAGAGGCTGAGATAAGAGTATTGGAAGTTTCAGGCCAGGCTGGGATATATAGTGAGACTTTGTCTTTAAAAAATAAATAAAATAAAATCCTAAAGTACTAAAGAAAATGATTTATTATCTGATCTTGTGGTGAAGAAGGCCTTTCCACCGTACAAAAGTAGAAAAGCAAAGGAAAACAGCAAAAAACAAGAATAGCTAAAATGTCTTCAACAAGTGTTGAGGAAACTGAATATACAGATGCGAAAGTGGATGACTATAACACTGAAATCAGCTTGAGCTTGGCATGGTGGGGCAGGTCTGTACACCTCAGCACTCTGAGAGGCAAGGCAGGAGGCCCAAACTGGGTAGTTTGTTTTTATTTTTTTATGTTAATTAGCACTTGTTTGTGCTACATATTGGTTAGGTATGGCTACATAAAACACTAATTCTTTTTTCTTCCCTTTGCCCTCAATTCCCTCCCCTTCCCTCCAGCTCTAGCTCTTCCTACTTCACATTATCTTAATTTTCTCTTTATTTGTACTTTGAGTTTTTCATATAAGAGGAATCATGTAATACTTAAGCTCATGTGTCTGATTTATTTCATTTAATATTCTGGTCTCAAGGTGCATCCATTTTCTACAAATGACTCAAAAATCTTTTTTTGGTACTGGGGATCGAACTTGGAACCTTGCACTTGTGAGGCAGGCGACGGAACCACTGAGCTAAATTCCCAGCCCCAAATAACTCAAATTTATGCTTTATCCAGCCTAGGCAGTTTCACATTCTAGCAAGACCCTGTCTCAGATAAAAGGACCGGAGACATATAGCTCAGTATAAATGTCCTGGATTCAAGCTCTAGTACCAGGAACAAAAAAAAGTAAAATCTAAAAATTTCCAAAAGAAAACAGGAAAGCTTTGTAACACTGGTCTTGACAATAATTTGGATATCACACTAACCACATGCAACAAAAGCAGAGACAAATAGGTCTACATCAAACTGAAAGGCTGTGCAGCAAAAGGGAAAAAAAAAATGGAAGGAAAAGAAAACATGGAAGAAAATATTTGCAAATCATTTATTGAATTACCAGTAATATTCAATATATATGAAATGCTTACAACTCAATAGCAGAAAACCACCTGGCTAAAAAGTAGACTGAAAAGATAATTTCTCCAAAGAAAGCATACAAATAAATGACCAGTGCTATCTAAAAAGATACTCAACATTCCTAGTCAGGAAAATGTAAATCAAAACTCCAGATGGCCACTGTCAAAACAATTGAGGATGTACAGAAATTAGAACCCTTGTGGGGACTTAGTGCAGATATGAATTGGTACAGCTGCTATGGAAAGCAGTAGAGGGGCTCCCAAGAAACAGAAGGACCATATGACCCCGGAACCTTACTTCTGTCCTGATGGAGAAACACAGCAGGGTGGTTCCTCAGCTTTGTGAACCAGCAAGCAGCAGGCTTGAACCCAAGCTGGGGCCTGCAGCATTCCCAGGTACTGATAAAGACACTGAGGTTGTTGGCCCAACACCGACAGTAGCCCTGATCTTGAGCCAAATTCCTTAAACCTGCACACAGTGAAACAGCCCAGACCCCTCAGGGTAGACGCACTAGGTTCACAGCTTCCCTGTTCTACCTTGAGGTGACTGTTATACACACTTGGGGGCAGGAGGTGAACACAAACCCGATGTGGATTTCTGAGATTTTGGTTTTATGAGAAGAGGATGTGGAAGGCTCTGTCTCCTCCCCTTTTCCTGTCCTGAAGAGAGATGTGAAATTGCAGCAGCTTGGCACCATGAGGGAAGGGCTAAAGGAATCTCAGAAACTGATATCCGTGAGGCACCAGTGCTTGAAACCATTGCTTCTTGGGTCTTCTGTTACTTAAGAGTAGAAGGCATTGCTTCTTGATATAAAAACTAGTGATGGAAACAAAAGATAGGGCAGAAAAAAACACTTGACCTATGAGGGTGTTATTGAAAATGACTTGTTAAAAAAGGTTTGTACAGGGCTGGGATTTAGCTCAGTGGTTCTGCCTCCTGTCTCACAAGTGCAAGGACCCAAGTTTGATCCCTGGTACCAAAAAACAGAAAAAAGAAAAAAAAAAGGTTTATATAATATAGAAAATGAAAATATTGCTGAAAATGAAAATACCTGATTACTTTCACTGTTACTGGACCTTTCCCATTTAATCTAAATTATTTTGCCAAGTGTGGTGCATGCGTAATCCCACCCACTTGAGAGGCTGAGGCAAGATCACAGTTTTGAGGCCAGCCTGGATGACTTAGGAGACCTTGTCTCAAAATTCTGAAACACTGGACATAACTAAGTGTTCCTTGGGCTCAATCTGTAGTACTCCAAGGGGGAAAAAAAGTCTAGATTTTTAAAATTCTAAGGACATTAATTTGCCTTTTATTTTGTCCAAGAGCCAAATAAAAGTTTAGTATCCAAAACACATTTTCAACAAAATTTTTGTGTATAATATAAACAAACAGCACCAGGGACTGCTATAAATTTTCATCATACAGCTTCTGTGCAGGCTGCTTCATCAATAAATGGGACTCAATTTATTTCAAATGCTTGTGACTGCTGCAAACTATTCAGACTGTTCATCAAATACCAGGTGGTATTTTTCCACAGATATTTCAGACACTAAAATAAATTGGATCTATATTCTGAACAAAAACTTGAGTCATTCACATAGTGTTGAAGCAAACAATGGAGTCTGTATGTGAACTGCACTGTGTGTCCGCAGACTCAGGCTGCCTTCAGCAGAAACACCTTCCATCTCTGAGATCAGCTGCATCACGACGGCTCATCAGCTAGGTCACGCTGGTCAAAATACCTAGTAAAAAACATAATGTTTGCCTGAATATGTTAATTACAGCACTACCTGTAACAGCACAAAGGCACAAACAATCCATTATGTCCATCAATAAGGAAACTAATAAACCACAGTACATCTACACAGTGGAACTTATGAAGCTATAAAACAAGGGAAAAATACCTACACTGCTACACTGTACTCTACAAGATTTACTAGGTGAAAAAAGCAAATACAGAACAGACTGTTCAGTAAGCTTCCTTCTACATGTGTAAGAATGCAAATACACCTATCAACTTGTACTTTAAAAAGGAATGAAAGAATAAATGAGAATCAGTAATAAAACGGTTAACTATAGGAGGTCAGAAAAGAATGAGGAAAAAGGCAGATGCTGAAATACTCAGATGTATCTTGAATTATTTTTTTTTTGGTACCAGGGATCGAACTCTGGACCTTGCACTTGTGAGGCAGGTGGCAGCACCACTGAGCTGAATCTTAGCCCTTGAATTACAATATTAAGTTTGAAACAATGTAAATATTTTTTGTAATTAAAATAAGATTAAATATAAAAGAGCTGCATGAAGTGGTACATGCCTATAATCCCAGCACTTTGGGAGGCTGAGGCAGGAGGATCACAAGTTCAAGCTGTGCCCGGGCAACTTAGATCCTGTCTCAAAACCAAAACAAGGACTAAGGGTGTAGCTTAGCATGAAGGCCCAAAGTTCAATCCTCAGTACCACACAAAAAGAAAAAAGAAAAAAAATCCCTAAACAAAGTCTACCTAATCTTACTATTTATCAAGCTGGTGGCATAACCACATAAGGAGTTAATTTCAGGTAGCCTTCAACACTGCTCTGATTATGTCACTGGTGAGATGTATTAGACAAAAAGAACGGCAAGCAATTCGTAGACTCATTTCAATAGCTATACCACCAGTAACATTGAGTTATTATTCTGAAACTGTTAGATGCATACTGTAGGATGAAGCCAATAATTAGTTTTTAGAAATCAGAATTTTTGGCTGATTCTTAACCTCTCAAACCTTACTAGGAGAAAAATATGTAGTAGTCTCCTGTTTGTAGTTTTGTTTTTTGCAATTTCAATTCACAAGATCAACCAAAAATATTAAATGGAAAATCCCAGAAGTGAACAATTCATGTTTTAAATTGTGTACTCCGCACTGGGCACGGTGGCGCATGCCTGTAATCCTGGCACTTGGGAGGGAGGCTGAGGCAGGAGGACTGCCAGCCTGGACTGCACAGCAAGACTGTCTCAAAAGAAAATTGTTCTTCTTAGCTGTGTGATAAAATCTTGTGCTAGCCCACTCTGTTCCACCCAGCATATGACTGATCCCTTTGTCCAGGGCATTCCTGCTGTATATACCACCTGCCTGTTAGCCACCCAGCAGCTATCTCAGTTATCAATTGGCTGTGGTGTTGTATTGTAGTGCTTCTGTTCAAGTAACCCTTACTTCACTGAATAATGGCTGAAAAGTGGAAGGGTATGATGCTGGCAGTTTGAGTATGCCAAAAATAAGCTATACAGGACTTCCTTCAAGTGAAAAGGTAAAAGCTCTCAACTTTTTTAAGAAGAGAAGAAAAAAATCATGCTTTGAGGTTGCTAGGATCCACAGTAAGAATGAGTTTTCAATCCATGGAATGAAGCAAAAAGAAATCTGCTAGTTTTGCTATGGCAATTTAAACTACAAAAGTTACAGTCACAGTGCATACATTCTTAAGATTAAGAGGGCTAGGGATTTAGCTCAGTGGTGCCACCACCTGCCTCGCAAGCACAAGGACCAGAGTTTGATTCCCTGTTACTGAAAGAAAAAAAAAGATGGAGAAAGCAGTAAATTCTCAGGCTTGGTATTATGCATGGTTGCATGGTTTCAGGAACTCACTGTGTGTCTTGAAATGTATTCCTTTTTTTTTTGGTACCAGGGTTCAAACTCAGGACCTTCCACTTGCAAGGCAGGCGCCGCACCACTGAGCTAAATCCCAGGCCCTTGGAATGTGTTCCTTTCAAGATAAGGAGGAACTTATACCATACATACATATAATATTAAAGACAAAATCAGTTGGATGTGGTGACACACACCTGTGATCTCAACACTGTGGGAGGCTGAGGCCCAAGGATCATAAATTTGAGCCCAGTCTGGGAAATTTAGAAACTTCAGTGTGATCCTGTCTCAAAATTTTAAAAATGCCCTGGATTCAATCCCCAGTACTACACATCCAAATATTAAAGACAAGTAGCATTAAATTACAACTGAAATACCAATTTGAACTCAGGATTTTCTTTTTCTTTCTAAAAAGTACACCCCTGGGCTGGAAGTGTAGCTCAGTGGTCGAGTCCTCGGCTAGCATCTACTGACCCTGAGTTCAATCCTTAGCACCACAAATGAACAGTACATGCTTTTTAGCTCTGTTAATTCAAAAGACCTAAAGATGATGAGCAACTTAACTAGTTTTGGTTTCGCCCGCCTTCCCTCCCTCCCTCCCTTCCTTTGCTATAGGATCTCACTGGTTCAGGCTGGCTTTGAGCTATGTAGTCAAGCTGGCCTTGAACTTGTGGCAGTCCTCCTACCTCAGCCTTCTGAGTGCTGAGATTACAGGTATGAAGCACCACACCTGGCAATAACTAGTTTCTTTAGTTTCCAAATTATGGTCTTTAAGAATCTTTTCCTACTTTAAAAAAAGGAACCAGCACTCCCATATAAAAAACAGATTTCAGAGCCAGTCATAGTGGTGCACACCTGTAAATCCTGGCACTGTGGAGGGTGGGGCAAGAGGATCACAGGGAGTTTGAGCCCAGCCTGGACTATATACAGTATATAGCAAGATCCTATCTCAAAAATCCAAACCCCTCTCTCCACAAGAGAGAGGGAGTCAGGAAAAGAGAAGAGGGAGGAGAGGAGAGAAGGAGGGAGGAAGAGAGGGACAGACAGACAAGCCCTGAATCATCTCAACACACCAGAAAGTTAGAAATCTATAAAAGACTGCTAAGGATTGGTTAAATGGAGATAGAAGGTCTTAGGGAGGGCTTGGTGGTAGGGTGTTTGCCTGGCAGGCTCCAGGTCCTGAGTTTGAGGCTCAGCAGCACACACACGCAGAGAGTTTGAGGCCAACCTCGCTACATAGTGAGTTCAAGGTCAGCCTGAACTACACAGCGAGACCCTGTCTCAAAAAACAAAACAAAAGAATGCTTTATTTATATAAATAACAAATATTCCCTTTTCTGGTTTTGTTTTGAGACAGGGTCTTCCCACGTAGTTTAGGTCGGCCTTACACAGTGCTGGGGTTTTAAGCATGTGCCACTATGCTTGGCCAAACCTGCCTTTTTATTTATTTTTTATTTTTATTTTTATTTTTGGTATGGGGGATCAAACTCGGGACCTTGTGCTTGCAAGGCAGGCAGTGGAACCACTGAGCTAAATCTCCGGCCCCTAAACCTTCCTTTTGAAAAAATACTTTTTATTATAATATTTTTTAAAATGATGGCAAAAAGTATGAAAGACCTAATTTTTCTTTTAACCCTATATACTGGCATAGTTCAGAGATCTATACTATTTCTCAGTGTGATACCTTAGTGTGTCAGAACAAGGCGGATCTATCTACCCTACTTAAAGTAAATTATTAGAAGAAATCTGGGGCCAGGATCCCAGGGCTATCTTGAAGACAAAGAATCTCATTAAGGTGACCTTGATGGACACTGCAGGAATTACATGTAGAATTCCTCAAGTAAAAATTTATTATTTTTTAAAAATGAGTCAGCCGTGGTGGCACACACCTGTAATCCCAGCACTTGGAAGGCCGAGCCAGGACGACTGCCTCAAGTTTAAGGCCAGCCTGGGCTATATAGTGAATTCAAGGCCAGCCTGGACTACACAGTGAGATCCTGTTCAAAAACAAAACAAGGGCAGGGGACTTAGCTCAGTGGTACTGCTGCCTGCCTTGCAAGCGCAAGGTCCTGAGTTCAATCCCTGGTACCAAAAACAAAACAAAACAAAACAGGGCAAAGAAAAGACAGGCTGCAGGTGGGACCTGCTTGCTGGAGTAAAGCTGCTGGGGTACGGATCCTAGTTCTATGATTTGCTGGATTTGTGTCAGTAAGAAAGCTATTTAATCTCTTTCTCCATAGTTTCCTCATTTGTACTGATAATGTACTTATACATTATGAGGAACCAGTAAATGAGTTGCTAGTACAAATGAATTGTTAGTAAATGTTGCTAGTACAATAGGCTAAGAAAAATGCTTGGCACAAGCACCCAGCAAATGTGAATTATTATAAACAGCAGAATTATTTCAGATCAAAAAGCGAGATGTAGAATTTGTATGTATTCTGCAAGAGTGTCTTGTTTGGAAGAGGGAAGAATGGATGTAGGATTATTTACCTTCCTGATAATTAAATATATAGCTTCAAAAAGGTACTGGCATTGGAATAAGAGCACTGATCAATGGAACAAAAATATGTCCAGGGAGCCAGGGATTTAGCTCAGTGGTGCCGCCGCCTGCCCTGCAAGTGCAAGGACCTGAGTTCGATCCCCGGTACCAAAAACAACAACAACAACAAAAAAGTCCAGGAAGAGACCTAACATAAATAGGTGTTATGTTTTACCAGTATTTATAGAATTTAGAATATATAAAATTTTTCAAATAAATTCCAGCTAGAACAGTGCTATAAAAAATTAAACCAGTGGGCAAGGATTTCGCTTAGTGGTGTCATGCCTGCCTTGCAAGCGCAAGGTGCTGAGTTCGATCCCCATACCAAAAAAAAATTAAACCAAATATACACTAAATAAAAATATGCCTGAACTGAAAAAGAACAAGGCATCCAGGCAGTTAATAAAATACAAATGCAACAAAACTATGCTTTACCTCACATATAAGCAAGAAGTCAATAATTACTTAACTATACCTGCTAACCAAGCAGATTAATAAATTCAAAGCAGGAACCCTCTCATCATCTTTGGTGTCCTAAAGAAAAGAAGAGACAAAACTTTAAATATAGTTTGTTCTTCTCTAATATTTTTGAAATAAGTTTCTTTTTCAGAAAACATGAAAATAGGAGAACATTTTAGAGTTAATGATTTCTTAAGAAACACGTGAAATCACTTTTTGTTTTTGTTGGTACTGAGGATTAAACCCAGACCTTGCACATGCTAGCCAAACACTTTAGCTACACCCCAGCCCTGTTTAAATTTCTTTTTCTAATTTTGAGACAGTCTCTCACTAAATTGTCCAGGCTGGCCTTGAACTTGCAATCCTCCTGCCTCAGCCTTCCAAGTAGCTAGGATTACAGGTATGCACCACCATGCCTGGCTTTTAAGATCATCTTTCAAAGAAAGATACTTGTTCAGAAGGATTAATGATTAATGCTGTCTAGCTGAGGTTCTAATTCTCACAGGACAGGGAGTTATTTTAATGTGTGCCGGGCATGTCCCCTCTTCCACATGCACCACATGTGCTCCTGCCAATAGTCAGAAGGCTGAATAGATGAGGCCACCTGATTCAAGGATATTCGGTATCCAAAACTGAGTAAACAAACTTCTCTTCTTTATAAGGTAGCCAGCCTCAGGTACTTTGTCACAGCAACACAAATGGAGTAAGGTAAGGATGGAAGCCACAAGTGGCAGAGCCCAAGGGTTAGGTTTACATCTTCTCCCAACTATCCTGCTTCCTTTATCTGAGAAAAACATCTTCATTTTATTTAAACTGTTATTATTTTGGGCTTTTCCATTCTGTGGCCTAACCCAAGCCCAACTCATGATATATTTCAGATTTCCCTATTTATTGGAATCCTCCTATTACCATAGGAACACGTGGGTGCTTTCAATCAGCAACAGTAAGTTATAACTCACCACTGAGAGCCTCACTTCAGAGCACCTTCTTGCAAGCTGCCGAATCAGGGAGTGAGCTTCGGGGAGTAAGGGCTTCTCAAGGCAAGCCAATAAAGCATAGAACCATCTTCCCTAAAAAGAATTTTAAAAAGTAGTTAGGAGACAGAAAAATGAACCATAAACTTACTTTTCTAAATGTCCAATGTTGTGCCTGGCTACTTGCTATGCATAAATTTATAGACCATTTAATTATAAAATGTTTGCGTATGGACAAAGGATCATCTATGGAGCTGGGTAGTACCCCCCCCCCTTCTGAGACAGGAACTTGCAGTGATCCTCCTGCCTCAGCCTCCTGAGTGCTGGGATTATAGTGTGCACCACAACACCCGGCTCTCTTATATTTTTATACACTATAAAACTATATACATAGGGTATTAGACAGGTCAAAATATTCCCGGATTCCCAAAGAGTTCATTTCAGAAATTCTTGTTGAAACGGTCCTGCTATGTTGTCCACGTTGGCCCTGAACCTGAGATCCCCCTGCCTCAGTTTCCCAAGTGCTGGGATTGTAGGCATGAACCCCCATACCTTTTATTTCAGAGATTCTTATCACAACTGAAGTTTCCATTTATTTATATATATAGCCTTATAAAAATCAAGATACTTTTCCCCTACGGACAGATATGCAAGTCATTTTGTAATTCTGTAATTTGTACCCAGGTCCATTATGAAGGAACTATACTGTAAGCAAAATAGTTTTGACACTTCTATAAATAGAAGCTAAACTTATCTCCACTCCCTTTTTAAATGGGTTTTTCTTTTAAATTATAAAACAATATTCACTCTATGTAGAAAAAAATGTAAAAAATACCAAAAGCACATAGGAAAAACCAAACTTGCAGTCTCATTGTTATGGTTAGATCTAAAATATCCCCCAAAAGTCTCATGTGTTCAGAGGATGGGGTTTTATTTTATTTGTTTTTTCTGGTATCGGGGATTGAACTCAGAACCCTGAGCTTGCAAGGCAGGCCTGGCGCCACTGAGCTACATCCCTGGCCCAAGGGGCTGGGGCTTTAGAAGGTGATGGAATCATGAGGGTACTAACTTCACCATCTCATCCATCAATGAGATAACAACTTGATGGCATTACTGAGAGGTCATGGAACAGGAGGTAGGGTCAGGTTGGAGGGAGTGAACCATGGGGCATGACACTGGGGACTAAATCTGGTCCCAGTCCTTTTGTCTCTGCTTCAAGGCTACCATAAGGTGAGCAGCTCTGCTCCATCACACCCTTCCCACAGATGACCTGCCTCACCTTGGGTCCATGGGAATGGAACCAGACAACCATGGACTGAAACCTCAAAAACTGTGAGCCAAAATAAATCTTTCCTCTTTTAAGTTGTTTTTCTCAGGTATCTGGTCACAGTGATATAAAGCTAGCACCTTCATCATCCAGATAAAATTTCTACTAATTGTTTTAATGTTTTTCTATGTATATGTACCAATTTTTCAAGGGTCATTCTTATAGTATCATTTTGTAGCCATTTTTATTTGTAATATAATAATAAACCCCTTCCACATCACTCCATAGGATTATCAAGGAGATGTTACTAAATAGCTGTAACATTCCCCTGTTAATTTCATGCAACAAGGAAAATTTTATTATATATTACAAGAAAAATGATGGTGTCAAAGGATATTTATGTTCTTTAAGTTTCTGAGGCATAATCACCGGATTGTACCCAGGAAAGTAATACCAAATTATAGTTCCACCAGCAGTACAAAATTTAGGTTTTTTTTTTTTTTTTACTGTTTTAAAGCAGTGGCAAAATTTATTTGAGAAAGTAAAAAGTGAAGAGTGGGAGAGAAACTGGTACTGCAGAGCAAGCTTGGGCCAAGTATATAGAAAAACAGTAAGAGCAAAGATAAAATACACACTATCTCTAGGAAACAGCATGGGCTATTGTGGAAAGCTACAGTAGCTAAAATTTAGTTTAATTCTGAGCAACCTATCACTTTGGGGAAACCTAAAGAATATTAGAGCAAATTTTAAACAGCAACTTATGCAGCATACTAAGTTAGTTCCTCAGGCAACCCTGAATCAATAGTGACTGTTTTTTAAAACAGCTTCATGTCTAGGTTTCTTTTACAAATAGAATTTTCTACATTAAAAGATTACCCATTAAAAATCTGACTCAAATTTTCTGGGATATATAGTAATACCTTGGTTCACAAATGCTTCAGTTTGCAAATAATTTGGTTCACAAACAAAAGTGTTCAGCAAAATTTTACTTCCGTTCACAAACTCCTTAGTGGGTAACAAACACAACCACAGCCATCTCCCCCACACAAACACAAATGCAACCATCTTCTCCAAAATCATAAAACAAATTAAGTTTGAAAACCGAAGTACCACTGTATTTACTATGTAAAGCCACCATTCAAGTATTCAAAGACCTTCTAAGTTGCTCGAGCCTCTACTGATTGTCTAAAATTTTATACTAAAAGATTCCTTTTCTTAAACTCAGTAGCACATTGTGATAATAATAAAAATACCAAAATTTAAATGGCCATAACCTACACTAAAAGGTTGAAACAAGAATACATACATAAATACAATATATAGTCGCATCTCAAATACTGTATATATAATTTCTTTTGCGTTATGAAGATAAAAAATGCAATACTACCAATTCTGGAGTAAAGTCTTTTTCTCCAAACCAATTACTCAAATATTCCAAGACACTAGTTACTGTTGCCTAGGGAAAAAAAAGAAAAGATGGAGTGGAGAAAGGTAATATTAGTAATAAAATACTGACAAGTTGAATATGAGTTCCATGAATCATTCTGATGTTTAAAACGGCCAAATTCTTTAGACTTCCAAAGGAAACTAGGATTCTAGTAATTTGACAAGATAGCTCATATGAAGAAGAGGCTTTTAGGATAAATATTCTTTTTTTTTTGTACCGGGGATCAAACTCGGGACCTTGCGCTTGTGAGGCAGCCGCTGGAACCACTGAGCTAAATCCCTGGCCCAAGGATAAATATTCTTAAGATCTCAAGTATCAAAAAAAAAAAAATCTGAAGTATCAACTAAAGCTTTGGTGTGGATCCTAGGATTTAATTGATAACTACTAGTTTGTAACTACTTGAAAAACCACATGCTCTCAAAAAGAGAATCTTTGTATAAATATCTTTAGTTTTTTGGTGGGTTTTTTTGGCATCAGGGATCGAACTTGGGACCTTGCACTTGCGAGGCAGGCGGTGGAACCACTGAGCTAAATCCTCAGCCCTAAATATCTTTAGTTTATTTCCTAATTCAATTAAATGAAAGTACGAATCTTAAGAAAAAACTAGAGAAAGACTAGTTTTAAAATTACACAGGGCTGGGGATACAGCTTGGTGGTACAAACACTTGCTTAGCCTGCAAGCCACTGAACAAAGCAAAACAAAGCAAAACAAAACCAAAAGAAAACCCCCAAACTTTTCCAGACAAAATTATCAAAATCTCGAAAATATATTCTGGCTTATTCAACTACACTTGGGTCCTTACTAAAAACAAAACAAAAAACCACACTGACAATTTAACGTGACTTGTCACAATATCAGCACAAATGATAAAGTGAAACTATCATCCTATATAAGATTTCCAACATGACCTTCAAAAAAAATCTTCTATGAGTACTTAATGCTACATAAGAACAAGAATCAAAGTTTTTTGCTTTTTAAAGTGGATAACACAGTCCCTACTCCTAAAAGCCACAGGAACCAAATTCTGTATTTCTTCCCTTTTGGTCCTTGAAATTATGTGTTTCAATCCTCCCCCCAAACTCCCCAAGACTGAATCTATGGCCTTGGCACTGAGCTACATCCTCAGTACATTATTTAAATTTTTTATGTTGAGACAAGAGCTCACTAATTTGCCCAGGCTGGGCTTGAACTTGTGATCCTTCTGCCCCAGCCTCCCAGAGTGCTGGGATTACAGGCATGCAAAATCACACCCAGGATTTTAATCTTAAGGTAATGAGCAGGACATCTACGAACGAGAAATGGCACTCTGACCTTAATATTTAATTGAAACCTCAGATTCCAAGAATTATAACTGACACAAACAAGTACTTTACCACCACATTAAGAGCATGAGCTCTGGAGTCAAATCCACTTGCTATCAAATCCAAGTGCTATTATTTACTTGCTAAAAAACTACCTGAAAGTTGCTTAAATTCAAATTTTGTGTCCTCATTTATAAAAAATGGTTATTAGCCATGCGTGGTGGGACACATCTGTAATCCCAGCCCAGGGAAACCAAGACAGGAAGACTGAAATTTTGAGCCCAGCCCAAGCAACTCAGTGACTTGGCAAGACCTTGTCTCAAAATAAAAAAATTATAGAAAAGGCTGGAGATCAAGCTCAGTGTGAAGGCCTTGGGTTCAATGCCTACTACTATTAAAAAAAAAAAGTTTAGAACAGCCAGGTACAGTAGAGTAGAAGGACCACAAGTTCCAGGCCCTCACAGGCAACTTGAGAAGACCCCAAATCCAACCAAAAATATCTGTAAAAATTCTGAAGTAGTAGTACATGGTCTTGCACTGTACTGTAACTATGGAAGGAAATGTATTCTAATACCTCACACACATGGCAAACAAATAATGCATACATCCTTAATATTTGATGGATTTTACCTGATTCATTCTGCTAACAATACTAAGGAAGGGAGGAAATCCAATCTGAAAGAAACAATGACATATATTTACTAAACGATATGATAAGGAGAGGCTTCATTTTTTTTTTCAAACTGGTACATTTCCTTGTCACACTGCCGTTTAGAAATAAAGAAGAGATAAAAGAAAATTCCTTTATAGTCCAGTATAATGAGACATTCCTGGAACTACTATGTTGGCAAGGCTCAACAAAATATATCTTGAAATTTGGATATATAAATTTAAAAATAAAATATGATTTTAGTAACTAAAACATCTAAGTATGAAATAAAAAATACTACTTGAAAATTAATTTATCGATTATTTTCAATAAAATTATGACATATTGATACTATTAATATGTTATATACATCATTTAAAAAATCTTCAGTGAAAGCTAATCTTTTCAGGAATTAGGCCAGGGATGTAGCTTAGAGGTGCTGTGCCTGCCTGGCAAGGTCAAGGTCCTGAGTTCAATCCCCAGTACCACACACACACACAAAAATTAAGGGCACCAATTAGAATATGTTTTAAAACTAATGACTTAAAAAAGTATACTTTGAGGGCTAGAGATTTAGCTCAGTGGTTCTGCCGCCTGCCTCGAAAGCGCCAGGTCCTGAGTTTGATCCCCGGTACCCCCCCACCCCAACAAAAAAAGTATACTTTGAGCCAGGCATGGTGGCATATGCCTGTAATCTCAGCACTTGGGAGGCTGAGGCAGGAGGATCACCACAAGTTTGAGGCTAGCCTGGGCTGCCAGTTTGTAAGTTAAACAGCTAATCAAAGAAGTCAGGGGTTGGGCTGGGCATTTAGCTCTGTGGTTCCACTGCCTGCTTTGCTAGCACAAGGATCTGAGTTTGATCGGGACCAAAAAAAAAAAAAAAGAAGTCAGGGGTTGGCAAATATTTTTTCTAGAGAGCCAAACAATAAATATTTTAGTCTTTGCAAATCAGTCACATTTTGTTTCTTCTTTTTTTTTTAGTTTTTTGAGACAGGATCTCACTATGTAGTTCAGGGTGGCCTTGAATTCACTATGTAGCCCAGGCTGGCCTAGAACTCATGGTGATCCTCCTGCCTCAGCCTCCCAAGTGCTGGGATTACAGGCATGAGCCACCATCCCCAGCTCATATTTTGTTTCTTACATAACCTTTAAAAATGTAAAAACCATTCTTAGCCCATGAGTGTTCAAAACCAGATTGTGTTGTGCATTTGGCCCATGTGGCAGTTTGCTTAAACTACATGATGTACCAAAATTAGAATAGTCTTTCTTTTTCCACATATCACCTACTTGTACATAATCAATTCCAGGACTTTCATCTATAGTTGGCTCAACAGCCCCTTCAGCACATAACCTTTCTCCTAGACAGAATTTTTTCCAACCTTCTTCATCCTCAGATTTTGGCTGAAAGAAAAAAAAATTACTCATTTCTATGTATTTTGTTTTATACTGAACAGTAAAAAACAAAACAAAACAAAAAATTGTGTGTTGAAGCCCTAACCTCCAGAGCATCTTACATCTTAGGCTGTGAGTGTATCTGGTGATTAAACGAGACCACTCCAGAAGAGCTCTAATCTAATCTGACTGGCATCCTTATAAGGGGAAATTTGGATACAACAAAAATACATTATTTTTTTCCCTTGTGAAGACATATAACTTTCATTAGATTCTCAGAAATGATATGTTCTTCTCTAAAAGGTTAAAAACAATTTCCTACAACAATGTATCTTATCTCTTCACCAACTCCTACTTTCATTTAGAGAGCTCATATAGCTTCTGAAAAGCTTAATATTGTGTCTAAGTTGATGAAAGTAGGAAATACCACTTTGTACTAGCACGACAGGCTTCACTATTCTGTCACTATTACTGTGAAGGAGAGAAGACACTTCGTAAACATGTAGCTTACTGCATGGCATCATTATCACAACAGGAAAGCCCAATTAAGCCTTTATTAAGGCCTTTTAAATTTTGAAACTGTATTTATTTCATAAAAAGTAAAGAAGAATCCTTAAAAGCTTATAGAGGCCAATCACCTATTTGTCAACCTAAATAAATCAAGAGATTCTGCACAGAACAAGGACATTTATTTGGGAATAACAGAGCACTGCAATGGTGTACATGTACCATAGTAAAATATGGGCATTTTCAAAGAGGGTGAAGCAAGTGGAAGTTTTTGAAGAGAGAAATGACAATTGCATCAGATACTTTGAAACAATAATCCTTGGCAGTAAGGATTAAGAACAAGAATGAAGTCAGTCTGAGGTTGACCAGAGAGTTGCTAGGCAGATGTCCTAGTAGAAATACTTTTGTATAAGGTTGCAATGGCCTTAGTGCAGGGTTAAGTTTGGTAGAATCTTTTGTGATGTAAATATTAGGCAACTGTGCATAACACAGCCTATCCATCATAACTTTCCAGTTTTATTTACTTTATTGGTTAGAGCTGACATGAGCGACTCCATTTTGATTCTGACACCTTACATATTTCCAAAATAGGACACATATCCAAAGTATCCCAATACGATGAATTAAAACAGTCATGAAAATAACTTGTACTACTGATTCTATACCTTTTTGGGCTACTCATATAATGGAATTGTTACTATTACATAATGGTATGTGGAAAGTGAATGAAAATAATACGGACTAAGAAAGTAAATGTTTAAGGACCAAAAGTTAATATGAACTATTTCAAACAAGTATACACTGTGTAACTCAAATTGAGAAGCTTACATACCATAGTCACATTACTATCCAACTGCTGTGATTTCCAGTGACTTCTATGTTTGTTCACATTCTAAAGGAAGAAAAGTTAGTGATCTTCAGATGAGTAATAAAAGAAAAAAAAATGAGCTTCTGCACAAAATTTTAGCTATACTAAAACTTGGACAATATGTGACAAACAGTAATATATCTAGTGATTACAATGATAATAGGGTAACAATTCAACTGTTACTTTAAAATTATAACAGAAACGAATGTGAAAGGGGATTTAATTTGATTAAATGTGATATTTACCTGTCGAACAGCTGAAAACTGGGCCACTTGTTGCTGTTGCCACTGAAGTGTTGGGGAATAACCTTCAGGGGCAGGTTGGCATCCTGAAAGCTAGAAATCAACTCATAAATGTTAGGATCGATGTTTAGTGTTCTAATTGGAATCTCATGCCTCTGCAAAGAAAAACTAAGATGAAGAGTAACTGGTAAGAGTGGAAAACTATTTAAGAAAAAAGGTATTTTTATAGGTGCAAAAAGTAGGCATTTTACTTTACTACTTATGTCCCAATTAAAAATGGTAGGAAATGATAATCACTTCAGGGCCAGGGATTTAGCTCAGTCAGTGGTTCCGCTACCTGCCTCGAAAGCACAAGGTCCCTTGAGTTTGATCCCCAGTACCAAAAAAAAAAAAAAAAGATAATCACTTCAGTAAGAGGATTCTCAGATGTCTTACCGCTGGAATTTTTAAGAATCTGAATAACATGAACCTTGAAGATATAATCTAGTTCTATCTTTCTATAATTATAAAACAGAAACAAAAAGAGAAGCATGCCCCACATAAAGAATTTTGTGTAGGGTAAAATACGCTCAAATAATTTAAAGACACTTGACTTGAAAAGGTCTACCTTTGTTTTCTAAAACAGCACAGTAGGGCCGGGGATTTAGCTCAGTGGTTTTGCCACCTGCTGCGCAAGTGCAAGGACCCGAGTTCAATCCCTGGTACCAAAAACAAAAACAAACAAAAAATGTCTGGGGTGTGCATGGTGGTGCACACCTGTAATCCCAGCACTTGGGAGGCTGAGGCAGGAGGATCACTATGAGTTCTAGGCCAGCCAGGGCTACATAGTGAGTTCAAGGCCAGTGTGAATTATAGAGTGAGACCCTGTCTTGAAATACGAAAAAAAAGTCTGAAGAGAAATTATAAAATATTATAAAATTTTAAAATTTCCTGATTATAAATATCAGATAATGGAATTACTTAGTCATAAAAAAATGATTAGCAACATTTTTTAAATGCCACTTTCCTTTGACCTTAAATACAACCTCCTCAGAGGGATCTTCTTTGACAACTCTATCTAAAGTACTTGTTTTTCCCCCTTTGTAGAGAGCAAACTCTACAAAGGATCTTTTCTAACTTATCCTCTGTGGTATTCTTAGTGCCTGGTACAACCTGGTTGCTTAAGAAAAAGTGTGCTGGATAAATAAATGAATAAAAATGTCCAGTGTGCAAGTAGCCAAAAAGGTGTAAGACATTTAGGTTTCCAAGGAAAATTCAGAACGTGGAAACTGCATTAAGATTAAACACTAGTCCAATAATAATCAAGACAAAAAGAATGCCCCCCCAAAGAAGGCTCCTTTAAATATATATCCCTAAAAAAAGATGGACAAGTGCCTAAAAATATGGCCACTGAAGGCAGTACACGTCAACTATCTTCGGAAAGCAAAAAACACAAGGAAATGTACAAAAGTATGTTTATCTAACTTTGTAGGGTGTAACCAAATCTTACCTACACCATAATTAATATTATTTGGGTCAACAAGAAGACGCTGTTGGGTACTTTGTTTTTAATTTGTGTGCACGCGGGTGGGAAATTCCCAGATTGTTAATAAAACTCACAGAAACATTCACACTTTGCTTCCTTTTCAACTTCTTTGGGTCAATTTGAGCTACCACAACATCTGGACACCGAGCTGCTTCGATCCTACAAGTAATAAATGCAAGAAACTTAATTACAGTTATGCTTTACTCATGTGTACAGACGCAAATGATCCATTTCAGCTCATTTTTAAAATCAGAAAAATAATTCAGATTTCAAATTGAGGTACTAATCATTGAATGGCTAAAATGATTTCGACTGAAAGCAAGGAAAGCAGCTAAGAGCACACATCTCGAAAGGTTTTGATGTATGCAATCAAGCGCTAAAGAAACACGCCCTCGTCAGGATGTCAGCCGTGGATCCAGAGCAGATCCGACCTCGCGAGAGGCTGGGACTGACACCGAGGCGGGGCTTTATCTCCCACAGGGCTCCAGCCAGGAACCAGGCGCAGTGCCCAAGGGCAGAGTGGACGAAAAGCCCACCCACAAGAGGCCAAATCACTCACTGGACCCGCCTCAGGTATTCCTGAGGCGTCCTCGGGGGTACCGAGGGATCGAAACCTTCCGTCAAGTCGCAGGGCTCTACCGGCAAGAGCCGTGGCATCAACTCTTCCACTGCAGACTCCTTAGGCACCCACGCCATGGTTTCCGATCCCGCCAGCCTCGAAGAACGCAAGCGCGGAGGCTTGGTCAGGGCGCAGGCGCACAAGTAAGCGCGTTTGGCGCGGAGCTGAGCCGGCGGCCGGTTAAGGAGGCGTAACTGCGCATGAGCAAACAAACGCTGCTTTTAGCGAAGTTAAGGCTCTGGTGGTGCAACACACACTGTGAGTTGAATTCCTACCTGAAGTGGTTCTTGTAGCCTCTCTTCTAAGGCTTTAGAACTCTCTTTAAACTGCGGGTTAACTTATGCACCCCTAGTTGCTTTTTTTTTTTTTCCTCAGTGAACAGTATAACTCTGACTTATGGTAAAAACGTTATTGTTAATTCTAACAACGACCCGGTGGAAAGGGTAGTATTTTCTGGTTTGGAGGGGAAGAAATTGACAGAGTGTTTGAGTACTGAATCTGATTTTCCAAACCTAGGTTTATCTGATGCCAAATGAATAAAACATTACTTTTCCGCTGGAATTCGTTGTGCCTGGCCTCTTTTTTCTTGGTTTTTCTCTCACTGTGTAGTCCAGTCTGCCTTTAAGCTTGCTATGCTTTGACATCCTTGAACTCAAAATCCTTTTGCCTCAGCCTCCTAAAGGTTGGGTTTGCAGGTATGTGCCACCATGCCCGCCTGTGGCTGGCCACTTCTAAGGTCACTTTATTTAAAGTGAATACTACTACTAGAGTAGCCATTTTTTCTAGTTTAAAGAAAAATGTTTATATACAAATAGTGCAAATTATGAAGCCAGTACAGGGACCCACAAAATATCGTTACAAATTTTCCTCGTTTAAAGACATACCTGTTCAACAAACATTCGGGGATACTGAGCAGAAAAGAAGGGACGTGAACTCAACATTCCAAACAGTTTTATTGCTAGACCTGAGGGACTTTTCTGGGAACAGAACACACGTGTTTTTTACAGGCTAAAAGGCCTTTTTTTGTAGCGTTTTTGGGCAGGCTGCTGAGGGAGTGTGTCGGAGAAAGTGGGCTTGTGACTTGCTGGTGTAGCCGGTGTCCTCTGTGACCTAAGTAAAATGAAACCTACGTTTCTCTAAAGTGGGGGTGGGGTGAGGTGGGATCATTGGAGCTGGCAGTATCCTCTATCAGGGATAATGCTGTATTAACTCCTGCCTTATGTAACCTTTATAAATATTCATACTCTTTGCCATAAGAATGTCTTTTTAAAAAGACATTCAGCGTCATGATTAGACTATTCCATTTAGCAATCAACAACATGGGTGCAAAAAAAGAGTCTACATCAAAAGCCTTTGTTGGAATGCTGTACACTTTCCACAGAACAGAAACTAAACCCCTATACAATTAGTCTCAGTCCTTGCATTTTTTTGCCCACACACCTGAGTATCATCTAAAACATGTCTTCTTTGTACCAGTGAGGCCCTGCACCACTGTGCTTGGCTGAGTTCACGAGTCTGTTGTACCCTGTAGCTTCCGTGTCACTTCTCTGGCTCTGCTGTCCCGCTGAGCTGTGTTTGCTGGCAGTGTTAAAACCTTCTGCTGCTGCCATCACAACTGCTGCTGCTGGAACAACCAGAGCCACCTTGATCTCATGGTCTGGAAAAGTGCTGGCCTCCACCACCACAGGGCCTGGAGCTTCTGCCTGCAAAGTTTCCTCCCTTCATGATCTAAAATTGGAAGGTTGATTGTTGTAATTTTGAAAAGCATTGTAGCTTCCATGAACTTGAAAATCAGTTGCATCATTACCAAATCCACCTTAGCCATCCCCACCACCACTATGTCCACCAGCACCATGGCTGCCACCAAAGCCACCTGGCACACTGAAGTTT